TGAGATCAGTTTTACATATTATTAAAATATGTAATTTTGTCATAATATGTTCAAATAATAATAAACCACATATTTAATATTGTGTCTTTTTAACAGAATGTTTTTGAGCTTTTTATATAAGAAATAATTCACTGTTTATTATTATGGGTATTTATTATTATTTAAAATGCATAAATCATATGAAAATACAAAATAATTTATGAATCAGTAATTCTTATCTCTCATCCTCAAATAATGAAGTTTAATATTTGTTGGGAATTTCAAGATACTAGATATTTTCCAAATTTCTTGACAGATTTTTCTCATGATTCAAAAATATGCAAAAATTTCCAAGGAATTCCCACATGGAAATATTACCAGATACTATATTAAGCCCATCAATATGCATTATCTCATTTAGTTATCATAGTGCCCTCTGATGTAAGGACACTTTGCTAGCTCTATGTTATAAGGATGAGGATGCTAAAACACAGATGAAGAACAGGCAAGACCCTAAAGACCACCTAACTAGTAGAAGGTAGAACAGATTTCAGGCCATCTAGCTCTGGAATACATGCTCTTAGCTGATGCATTATTGATTAGTAAGCCAGAGGTGGGGTTCTGGAATTAAGTAGAAATGGTAGAATTGGAAACGTACCCTTACATTTGTTTCTTTCTCTTTCTGAAGGGTGTTATGGCTTAGGTGCATTGTTTATATAAGATAAATACTAGTATGAAGTAAAACTGTAGGGCTTAATATCCTTTGAGCTTTCCAAACCAGTTCCACACAATTGAACTTTCCCCATTCTTAAAATTAAAAAAAAAAAAAGATCATCAAAGAAGTAACTTGATTTTAGAGAATTACTTGTGTACCAGAGCAGGTCCAGATAAGTGACAGATTGAGGAATTAGCCTTGCTACTTTCGGAAAGGGCTGTGTGCTTTGTGGCTACAGACAGTCTGATATTTACTGAAGAGTCCTCCTGTGTCTGCTTTGCCTGGTATACATAAACAGGCCTGTTCTGATGCTGGTTAATCCTTTCTTCAAAGTGTATGTCTCATTCCCTGATAACACTATGAGTTAGCTCTACCATGGTATGTCAGACTYATTTAATAGCACTTTCTAGCAACATGTTCACATTGTCTGCATCTGTAGAGACAMAGAATAATGACTTCACCTTTTAAAAATAACTTTTTAAAGCAATAATCTTTAGAGTTTAGCTTTCTACACGCCAGAATGCTGGTTAGAGCAGCTGTTTAAAATTTCCCAAATTGTTTCTGGAAATGCCAACAAAATTACTGGTTTGGTGTGAGCTGATCAAATTTCTAGAATTTGAGGACTCAAGAGAAAATAAAGAAGAAAAAAGAACATTATGTGGAATTGTGGGGTTGGTTGCCCAGAGATTATGGTTTTCTTGCATGATGACGTTAGGACATGTGTAGAAGAGGGAGTTAGGCAGATGGCTTAATTTTAATACTAACAGCATTGGARTATTGCTTGGTTAGGAAATATCCTATAGCTGTACCTTAGAATGATGCACTTATAAATGTCTTACTGGAAAGCCAAGTGTACATATGGTGATTATGAGCTTTGGACTTGGACAGATCTGATTTTATAGACTGTCTCTACCTGTGTACTATTTAGTCTTGTACAAATTGAGTAGCTACTCTGGGATTTCTTATCTTTGAAAAGTAGGAAATATAGAACCTGAGCTTGTTATGGAGATTAAATGGGACATTTAAAGCTGTTAATACAGAGTATGTGGTATATGTTAGATTCTAGAAAGAAGGTTGGTTGAGACATCTTTATTTATTGAGCACCTTTCTTCATGCTGGGTAATTTCTCAGTGTGGTGTTGTGATGATTAATAAGACAAACCCAGTTCTCACCTTAACAAGATATGAAAGCAAACAATTAAAATAAATGGATTAAAGTCTGTCAGGGCTGAAGAATATGGGGTACTAGGGGAGCACATAAAAGAGACAGCTAATGAAGTCCTTGGAAATTAACAGAATGTGTAGTTAACATCAGAAGAGAAAACCCTCTGATCCTGGCTTGGCCAAGTATATGAGCAAATTCACTGAACCCCACCTCCTGTGCCCACTCCCTGACACCAAAAATCCTCAGAAAGTTTTGTTTTTATTTTTAAGGAAAAGAAATTAACATACAAAGGCAAACCAGTTTACCCTAAATATATTGACTTTGGTGTGTGAAATACAACCCAAATGTCCCAAATTAGCAAGTATCCTGTCCTGGGTATCATATAATATGGGTTCAAGATAATTAAAGTGGCCACATGATATTTTCTTGTGTGTTATATCACTTTTCCTAATGATAACACTCAGCACTTTCCCTTGGGTCAAGAAAGATCCAACACATGCCAAACTAGGAGAAGACAGATGAGAAGTTTCTCTGCTCTTCCATATCTCCAGGGTAGGTGGGGTTCAGTGACTTCTGCAACAGAAAAATTCATTTAATATGTGTGGTTAACATCAGGCTACAGTAGATGGGGACATAAAGCAAGAAGGAGAACCTTAAGAACACGCTAATTCCTTACACACTATTTTGGTGTAAATGATAGTATATTGCTCCTATTAAATAAAAGCCGAAAATAAAATCTCTTCTTTTCCTATACTGTATATTGATGCTAATTCAAGTGTGTGTTTGATAATTCAGTCATTCCTTAACACACACTCCATTTTATTATGTTGGAAGGTATTATAGTTTGGAATAAGCTCCTCTTAATGCAAGAATATTCCCAGGTAAAATGGTTGCATTATGAAAGCTGTAACCTAATCAGTCCATCACCTTTTGAATGAATATACTAGAGTGTAACTGTAGGCCGGTGGGGTGTGACTGGAGGACATGGGTCACTGGGGGCATGCCATGGAAGGGTGCATCTTGCCTGCAGCTCTTCCCTGCTYCCTTTCTCTCTGCTTCCTTACTGACACGGGAGCATCTTTTCTCTGCCATGTCCTTTCCCCATGATGCTTTGCCTCACAGTGGGCCCAAAGCTATGGAATTATCTGCCTATGGGCTGAAACTTCTGAAACTTTGGGCTCTAAATACACTTTCCTGCTCTGAGTTGTTCTTGTTGGGTATTTTGGTCAGAGTGACCTAAAGCTGACTAAAGCAGGACAACCCTGTGACATTGACGTGTGGGGATTTTTCAGTGAATTTGCTCTTACTTGGGTCAGTCTGGGCCAGTGGTTTTTTTCCTCCCCCATATTCTGTTGATTTCCCAGGCTCTCATTAGAGCCCCTCTTGTGTGTTCCCCCCAGTCCTGGCTGGCACTTAGCCCATTGATTGTAATTGCTTTCCYTCTTTTCTCATTTTGACCTTTTCACTATTGCATCATCATCCTCGAAAATTACCCCACCCAAAGGAAAATGCTCAGCACACATTGCATGTATTAAATGAAGGAGCTGATACAGACATGCACATTGTGGTCAGATCTGCTTTTGCTGACCCCCTCCTCTCTATCTGCTTTTGATCTAGATAAAGATGAGGGCTTYTCCAGAACCTAGATAACTGAGTCTTAGTTTCACCTAAAAATAAGTCAACCCTGTGGGGTTAGCTCCACGTGTCACCCCAGCCATGTTTGGAATTTATGCCAGATTTTTTTTAACTTATGCCATTAGGAGGCTTTTTGTACCTACTTCTAAATTTCCAGCTATTTTGAATGACTGAGATAACAGGATCTATTATCCTTCCTGTGGAAGGAGGCAGAAAAGCCTAGAGCTTAGAGGTAAGCCAGCCAGCCATCCAATTAAAATTTCTAATGAGCAACTTTGTAATCTTATTATTCATTTAAAGCATCAGTCACTTTATCTGTTCAATGGGATCACTAATAAAAATACTTCATAGAGTCATTGTAAAATTGAGATAATATATATATAAAAGCTTACCTAATGCTTGGCACATATTCATTAACTTGGATTTTTATTATTATTTTGTTATTTTTATGATATTTAAAATATTTTAGTATTTATTATTAATATTTTATTATTTTATTATTACAAAATTATTATTTTATAGATCTAAATAATCAAATTATGGTGATATTAATGAATTGCAAAAATGGGAACTGTCAGAACATTCCTGGGAACTACCAGTGTGGTGACCTTGAAAATATACTGCTCAAACCTCCTGATGTGAGGAGCATGATTGAGTGATAGACAGCCCCTGCTGCTTCTCTCTCAGTGTACCTCTGCTTCCTATCAAGGCCAGGCTTCCCTCACAATGCTCTTAGCTGGTGGTGAGCAGAGTGGTGCTACCAWTGCAGGCCTGTTCTTGCAAGGCATGGGGTGCCTTTAATGGATGATTTTGGCTCAAGGATTCTCCACRTGTCTGATGGAATCTTCCATAAAGCTGGGCTGTAGGCTGAGACACTCCCTGCCCAGACTCTCCTTTTTCCCTTCACAGAGGTCAAACTCGTATTGTAGTCTAAGGTTCTCCCTGCTGTTTCCAGCTTCTTTTCTATTTCTTTTACTGATGTTTCCCTCAATAAACCTCATGTTCTTCTTAGTAACTGCTTTTTAGAAAATCTGAGCTAATCCAAGAATTGTAATAGTTGTTGGAAGAGAGTAACAATCTATACCTTAGAGAACAAGGTATAGATTTTCTCCATCAGTTATAAAGTAGATATTATTATGGAGTTTAAATTGATCTTTGTGTTGTTGCATTTTCTCAGAATTAAAATATGGTCCTAATGATCATAAATTCTCTAGAACAAGCATTAGTCACCCTTTCCTTAGGGAAGRCCACTAGAATTTAGGGTATAACATGCTAATATGCAGACTGAATTTTAAAATTRCTGCTATTGAGGATAGTTAGTTTCAGGTCTTTAACAAGTAGTTTTAATTGTTAACGTTCAAGAACCAAAAATTTCTTCCCCCAAAATAAACAAAATTGACAACTCTCTAGGGTATCTATTTATCTTTATAGTTTAATCTTTCGCCTATTTCTTTGGGTTTCTTATTCATTCTGCCAAATCCTCACTTGATTACTATTTTTGTGACAGACCAGGTCCAGGGTACAGTCACTATCCGGAACATCAGTGCTCTCTCTTCAGGTTTGTATCAGTGCGTGGCTTCTAACGCCATTGGAACCAGCACCTGTCTTTTGGATCTGCAGGTTATCTCACGTAAGTATGTAGAATCATGATGCCAACTCTAGGTGCGAAACTCCATAACCTTTGTCAAACTAGTAAACAAAGGATTCTGGTTGTTTTGAGATTGTCTGAAGATTGAATAGAAATTCTTTCAATTTTAACAATAGTTGAAAATATTTTGTAAATATCAGTGTACTTTTTAAGTATATGATGATCTTTATGACAAAATGTCTTTCTCTTCAGGATTATTAGAATTAAACCAATTCTTATTTCATAGTGCTATAGACATATAAATTTACAATGAGCTTATATCTGTAGCAAGACCTTCTTGTGTTTTTTCYTAATTCTTTTTATATGCCTGATTTTGGGGTATCTGATTATAAATAAGCAGTGAAGGAAATTTCTTTTTAGTTGAGAATTCTGGGCTATTTGAATTCTAGTTGCAAAGGGAGGAATGTGGCTGGGATGAAATCATTAGGTATCCCATGAGTGCCAGGCTCACTTGGGGCACTCAGGCAAATTGGATAGGCACTGTCTGTTCCTGCTCTGCTCCAGCTGCTGCTCTCTTGAAGCTACGTGAGTTGCTTAATGATTTATTCATTCACCAGATGTTGAGAGCCTACTRTGTGTTAGTCTTCACCCCTGGGGATATAGCTCAGTTGGTAGAGTGCTTGCCTTGCATGCACAGGCCTTGGGTTCAATCCCCAGAACTACACTCACAGACACACACACAGACACATAAAAAAATTTAACAGAGGTTTAGCTTTATATGGATGTGATACTTCAGGCAGTTTTGTATGSTATAATTAAGCTTACATATGTTTATACTTTGTATGGGTATATGCAATTCCTCTCTCTTCCTCTTTCTTTTCTTTAAATCTACCTTAAATATATTTTGCAGCTCAGCCCAGGAGCATTGGACTAATAGCTGGAGCCATTGGCACTGGTGCAGTTATTATCATTTTTTGCATTGCACTGATTTTAGGGGCATTCTTTTATTGGAGACGCAAACATAAAGAGGAGGAGGAAGAAGAAATTCCTAATGAAATAAGGTCTGTATGTCAGATGATTTGTCCTACATAGCCAATGTGTAATCTGTTCATTTTGRCAGTCAAGATTTCTTTGCTAATCATATAACTCTGATGGCCAAGATAATTTAAGTGGCCACATGATATTTTCTTGTGTGTTATGTCACTTTTTCTAATGATAACACTCAGCGTTTTCCCTTGGGTCAAGAAAGATCCATCACACACCAAACTAGGAGGAGACAGATGAGAAGTTTTTCTGCTTCTCCATATCTCCAGGTAGGTGGGGTTCAGTGACTTCCTCAATTGAAAAATTCACTTCATACGTGTGGTTAACATCAGGCTATAATAGATGGAAATATAAAGTAAGAAGGAGAACCTTAAGAACATACTAATTCCTTACACACTATTTTGGTGTAAATGACAGTRTATTAGCTAGATTTTCATTACTATTACAAAATACCTGAGGCAGGAATTTTGTTATAGAGGTTTACAAAAGAGTTTTATTTTGGCTCAGGGTTCTGGAAGGGGAAAAGAGGCCATATCTGGTGGTGGCCTCCTTGCTGGCAGGCTTGAGGAGGTTGCACAGGAGTGTGTGTGAGTCTGTGTCTGTGTGGTCTCTCTCCATCTTCTTATAAAACTCTCAGGATCTAGTCATGGAGCCCCAACCTATGACCATATTTAATCCKAATCATGTCCCAAAGACCCCACCTCCAGATACCAAAGTGACTAAGTTTTTCACCCTCAAAAAAACCTCACAATGGGAATCAAATTTCAACACCTGAGCCCTTAGGAAGCGCTCAAACTGTAAACACTGTACCAGACAGTTCAGATGTGATGTCTTAAAAAAACAAAACAAAACAAAAAAAAAAAACAATGTCAAGATGATCTTTAAAGAAAAGTGACTTTTGGCATCTTATGGAGATTTGATGTTTCAGGCTCAGTCTCAGCTTTCATTATATCATATCCTGTTGAAAATGCTTTAATGGTTCCAGTCTCCTTAGCAGGACCTGCATTGCCTTTAGGATCTGATAGCTGCCCTGCTTACTCTGTGCTCCATAYTACCCTTTATTTTCCCTGTATCAAGGTCTTTGCTCAAGCTTCTGCACTCTCCTGGTCCATGCACCTTCTTCTTTCAGTATCTATTAAATAAATCTCTTGATTTAATTCAAGACTAGTTAGGCATCACCTCCTCACATATAATGTCTTTTTAGCCTCTTGCCCAACTTTTTATACTTATAGATGTTTTTGCATTTATTGTCATCACCGTTTAACCATAGGCTTCGTGGGTGTCTTTTTTCTTTCTTTCTTTCTTTTTATGGTGCTTAGGTTGGAACCTGGGGCCTTGGCAAGCTATTCAAGCACTCTTACTCTAAGCCATATTCCCAGCCCCAGTTAGGTGTCATTTTTGCATGAAATATATAGAAGAATGTACTCTATAAATGTTAAATAGATGAATTAACATCTAAACTAGTGACATCTGTTTGCCTCTTATAATTCTTTAGAGTTCGGGCTGTGTGTTGGAATAGGTTATTGAGGAACAAGAATTACTGAGAAACATCTCTCATAAGCACAATCTCAAATAGTAATTTGATTTCTCAAACTCCAAATGGTAATAAAATCAAGCCAACATTAATGATTTCTTGAAGTTCTTCATATAAAGCTTGTTTTGTGTGTGTGTGTGTGTGTGTGTGTGTGTGTGTGTGGTGTTGGGGATTGAACCCAGGGCCTTGTGCATGCGAGGCAAACACTCTACCAACTAAGCTATATCCCCAGCCCTATAGCTTGTTTTTGTAGCTATTTGATGACAATTCACTCAGTGGATTTCTTTATGGACTATTTAGAGTCTTTCTTTCCCTCTCTCTCTCTCTCTCTCTCTCTCTCTCTCTCTCTCTGTGTGTGTGTGTATGTATGTGTATATATACATATATATTATGTATTTATATAATTTACACACAAAACATATATATATATATATATATATATATATGTTATATTAGAAGAGATATTCTTTGAGAGATCTAATAGTTCCTTTACTACTGAGAAACTGAGGAAAGAATTCCTTGACTATTGTTTCACAGGGAGTGGGTACCGAAGCTGAGGCTAAGCATGGCTGCCATGTTTGCTTCATGATAGACCATTTGTTTCAGACATACTAATGTTAACATTAAAAAAAAAAAAAAGATTCCTTGGTAGGATGCTAGGATAAATCTGAAGTAAATCCTAATGACAACTTTTGTTCCTTCTCAGAGAGGATGATCTTCCACCTAAATGCTCTTCTGCCAAAGCATTTCACACAGAGATATCCTCCTCAGAGAACAACACGCTGACCTCTTCTAACACCTACAACAGTCGATACTGGAGCAACAATCCAAAAGTTCATAGAAACACGGAGTCATTCAACCACTTCAGTGACTTGCGCCAGTCTTTCTCCCTTCACTCAGGCAATGCCAACATCCCCGCCATCTATGCTAATGGGAACCATCTGGTGCCGGGTTCACATAAGACTCTGGTAGTGACAGCCAACAGAGGGTCTTCACCRCAGATCATGTCCAGGAACAATGGTTCAATCAGCAGGAAGCCTCGGCCRCAGCACACACACTCCTACACCATCAGCCAAGCAACACTGGAGCGAATTGGTGCAGTTCCTGTCATGGTGCCAGCCCAGAGTCGGGCAGGGTCYCTTGTATAGGACATGAAGAGAGGTTGTGTTCAGAAAAAAATAAATGGGATGCCTCCATACAAGGGGAAGGGTGGGTTGGGTGAGTGCTGGGAAAGATAGACTTTCCTTATGATTATATTAGACAAAAGCACAAAGAGGAAGACAGTGCTCTTACTGGCCACTAAGATGTGTACAGTGGACTGGAACCCTCCATCTTGAAGCCTTGTCTCCCCACCACAGATGTCCTGGGATTCTTTTCAAAAAGCTGCATCTCAAAGATGTGCCAAGCCAAGGAGAAATATAAGAGCAGAATAGCACTTAAAACTCAAACTGCAGTCCAGATGGGCTTGTTCTTTAATTCATGCCTAACTTAATAATTTCAAGAGATTAAAGTGCCAGATGGAATTTAATAAGGAAATTATTTAAAAAATAGGTGTCTTTAGAAAAAATAATGAGCAACCCTGTGATGTGTTCTGCCTCTGCCTGTTCAGTCCCTCATTGTRTAGAGGGCTGGATGGCATAAGTGGTTAATATTGGTCTTAACAGTGATGGCTCTTCTGTCACATAGAATCAAAACTTTTTGCACAAACAAAATTTAGCGAGAAATGGAGGAAAACAAAGGAGACTTCTTTGAGAAACCCCTCCATATTTATTTATTTATTTCTTCCTGAACCATGAATTTCATATTTGGAATTTTGCTATATTGACAGATTCTTGTCTGTCTGTGTTATTCTAGGATCTGTTACAGGTCCATGGCATAACTTGTTCATTATTTCCTGGAAAAGTATTTTTTTTTAAAGGAAACTTTTTTTTTTTAAATACATGAGAGGCATTGGACTGGGCAGTGAAAAGACTTAACACCTTGTTTGGTTATTATAGTTAGTAAACCCAGCAGAAGGTCTGACACAAAAGGGCTAGGTTATTTGGGCAGCTCAGAAGCAGGAAGGCAGGTGTATGGGACCTCAGCCTTCCTGGGCAGCTTCCCAGAGTGAATTTGACCAGGTCTCCCTTGCTGTGACACCAGGTTACTCTTAGTGAGGGCAGYACTTGATGCCTTTTGTCTCAAAAGGCATAATTCTTCCTTGTTTGACAGAGGTTGGGTTATTGTAGGAAGGGCAAGATTATTGTTTGTTTGTTTCAAAATAATTCTTTTTGCAAAAGAGGTAAGACTGAGACAAACAGGGTAACTTGCAGCATGTTCCTGGGAGAGTTTGCACTCTGACAGCTCAGGTTTGCAATTTTGCCCAGATGCATTTTACACCATTGTAAAGAGACTCCTCTTGTGACTAATTACCTGGCTTGGTTGGTCCTGTAGTTCACCAGATTAGTTTACAAACTCCCCATTCAGTTTTGTGCTATGAAGATCTGGCCATACTTGTATTGGTGGCTATCTCGCCTTAATCACACTTTAAGAAACCTACAGGTGATTTCTTCCCAGATGTTTCCCAAATTATTTATGATACCAACCCCATGATTCAATAAGAACATCTTTCCTTCCCTCATGTGCTCTCACTCCCTCTTCCCACCATGCTCCTTGACTTCTGATTTCTGACTTTTCTGAGTGACTGGATGTGAACAGTTGTTGTATACATGATTTTCCCAAGTGGACTATACCCGGAACCTAACCGTTGCAACCATTTAATGTTGTCACAAAGCGGAATTTACCTTAGCATTACTTATTTTTTTCCATTTGATGATTCTTGACTTTGTAAAAATTTAAATAAATGAATGTCTATACTTTTTTATAAATAAAAGTGAAATACCATGACACAGAAAAGATGATACTATCAGATGCTGTTTAGAAAAGCATTTATCTTGCATTTCTTTATTCTTTCTAATTATCTAAAATTCAATAAAATTTTATTCATATAAAATAAGTTGTCATTAATTATCATACTAATAAATATATGATTTTTATTTAACAATCCCCTTGATGTTAAATGCATTTTTCCATTCCATTAAATAATATTTATAACCAGGTTAATGAATGTGTAATATTTCAAAAACTACTTTTCTTTCTTTTGTTGTTTGAAATTTAAGTTCTAGTTTTTACACATGATTGGATTTATAATTACCCTCTTCAGATTTGAGCTGTTTTCATATTTCTTAGTCTGAAATTTCATGAACATGGGGTCCACACCTGCTCTTTTTACCACTGAATCTCTATCACCTACTACAGTGCCTACCTTGGGTTTTCAAGTGATAAATGACTGATGATTTGTAAACTGAAATTGCCCAGTCAAGTTATGGGCATGACTATWGCTCTTGATATATATTGGATCATACTTCACTAGAAGAAATGTAAAAGTTTGCTTTAAATTTTTATTTTGAGACAATAATGCATTTATATGCAGCTATAAGAAATAATATACATCACAAATAACCCTTCACCTATTTCTCCCAGTGGTGACATCTTGTATAACTATTGCAACATACCACAAATTGATATGGATACAATCCATTAGCCTTATTTAGATTTCAGATTTCAGTACTTGTACTTGCATTCATGTGTGTGTGTGTGTGCGCGCGCGCGTGCGTGCATGGGCGCACAAGCATGCACATTTCATTGTGGGCATTTCATCACTATGTAGATTGATGTGACCCCAACAATTGACATCCATGTGCTCTTCACAGTACCTCCCTCCTCTCCAATTCCCTAATCTCTGAAAATGACTGCTCTGTTCTCCATCATTATAAATTTGAGAATGCTATATCAATGGAATGTGTAGTATGTAAGCTTTGAGGATTCCCTCTTTTTTCCAATCAGTATAATTTTCTTGAGCTTTATCTAAGTTATTGCATTTATCAATAGTTTGTTCCTTTTTAGATAGATTATCATTGCATCATATGGACATACCACAGTTTATCATTATTGAAAGGTACAAAGGACATTCATAACTATTAAAAGATACAAAGGACGTTTGGATTATTTCCAGTTTGGGACTATTATAAGTAAGCAGCTAGAACTATTTGTGTATAGGTTTCTGTGTGAGCATGTTTTTCATTTCTCTGCGGTAGGAGCCTAGGAGTACAGTTGCTGGGTTGCATGTATTATGTGCATGTTTAGTTTTTTAAAAAAATGGCATACTCTCCCAAGTGGCTGTACAGTTTTATATTTATTCCCACAAGTAAAAGTGAGCCAGTTTCTCTACATCCTTAACAGTGTTAGATATTATCAATATTTTTAATTTTAGCCATTTTGATAGGCATGTAGTAATATCTCATTATGGTTTTAATTTGCATTTTCTGGTAGCTAATGATGGAGAACATCTTTTTATGTATTTTTTATATCTGTGGCCCTTTCAGCAATATGTCTGTTCATGCCTTTGGCCCATTTTCCAGTTGCTGGTTTTTTTTTTTTATTGCTGTTGTTTTTGTTTTGTTTCTGCTGTTGAGTTTTAAGAGTCCTTTGTGTATTCTAGATGAATGCAAGTTCTTTGTTGAATATGTTGTTTGCAAATATTTTCTCCAATTTATCTCTTGTATTTTCATTCCTTTCATGGGGTCTTTTGTAGAGCAAAGTTTTAAATTTAATGAGGTCACTCCAGACATGGTGGCTGTGCCTGTAATCCCAGCTACTTGGGAAACTGGGGCAGGAGGATTGCAAGTTTGAGACCTGTCTGGGTAACATAACAAGATGCTTTCTCATTTTAATGGAGTCCAATTTTTCAGTTTTTCATTTTGTGGATTCTGCTTTTGGTGTCTAGTACCTAGACCCAGGTACTGAAGATTTTCATTGATTTTTTTTTTTTTTACCTCAAGTTTTATGGTTTAACTTCTGTGATCTAGTTGCTCTTTTTCAAAGCAGCWTTTTGTTTCACTAATTTTTCCCTACTTTTCAGTTTTTAGCTTCATTGGTTTCTGTCTTGATTTTTTTMTCTCTTCAGATTGTTTTGAGTTTATTTTGGTCTTAGTTTTTGTGTTTCTTGAAGTGAGAACATACTTTATTGGTTCTATTTAATGTAAACATTTAAGGCTATGATTTGACTCTCAGTACTGCTTTATCTGCATCCCATATGAAGTTTAGGTTGAGGTTTATTTATGTATTCATTTTTGCCTATATAGATCCAGTTGCTCTGTCCTTTCTCCAGTGAATTGCTTCTTTGTAAAAGGTCCTGTAGGCATGGCTCTGTGAGTCTCTTTTCTGAGTTCTACAGCTGATTCATTGATCTTTTTGTGATTTTCCTTCCATAAAATTATCTAATACCATGCTGACCACTGTAGTTATTTAATAAGCTTTAAACACATGGTAAATGAGTTTCTTACACATGATCTTTCTTTTTCAAAGTTGTTTTAAGTATTTGSGGTCTTGTGACTTTCTATATAAATTTAGAAATAAGATAGTTTGTGTTCACAAAACACCTTGCTTTTTTCATAGGAATTACATTGACTTTACAGAATCAATTTGGAAGAATGACATATTCAYTGTGTTAAATCTTCCAATCTCTGAAMATGATATGTTTCTCCATTCATTTAGGTCTCTGATTTATTCCACCAGTATTTATAATTTTCAGGATACAGATACTATAATGTGTTTTATRCCTAATTATTTCATTTTTGAAGCAACTGTAAATAACACTGTACTTTAAACTTTGGTTTCTCTATTATTAGCAAATTAAAGTGTGAATGGATTTTATGTGTTGGTTTTGTATCTGGCAACTTTGCTGAATTCATTTGTTCTGCATTTTTTTTTCTGTAGAATCCTTGACATTTTTTGACATACATAATATGTCATCTGCAAATAGGAACAGTTTTATTTCTTCCTCTTCACTCTGTGTGCCTTTTCTGTCTGTCTTTCTTACCTTGTTGCAATGACTAGAACTTACTATATTATGTTAATAATAATAATTGARTGTGATGTTCTTCCCTTGTTCCTGATCCTAGGAGGAAGGCTTTCACTTTTACAACCAAATATGATGCTAGCTGAAGGTTTTTAGAGATGTTCTGCATCAACTGAGGAAGTTTTACTCTATTACTAGTTTGTGGAGAATKTTTTTTTAATATGAGTGGGTGTTAAATTTTGTCAAATGCTTTATCTGCATCTCTTAATCTAATCGTATGTTTTTTCTTCTTCAGTTTATCGATATGCTATATATTACATTGATAGACTTTCAAATGTTGACCTAGCCTCACAAATAWGGAATAAATTTTAGTTTGCCATGATGTATAATTATTGTGGAATTTGATTTGCTAATACTTTGTTGAGGAATATTTTAAGTTTATAGAATTCTCAAGTGAAATCTTCTGAGTCTAGAGATTTCTTTTTTAGCTATTCAGTTTCTTTAATGATTATATGATCATTCAAGTTGGATATTTCATCTTTATTGAGATTTAGTTGTTTGTGGTCTTGATGGTAATGATCTACTTTTTCTAGGTTGTCAATTTGATGAACGTAAAGTTATTTGCATTA